GGCGAGGGAGGTAAGGAAGAAGAAGGGGATTGGCGAGGAAGAAGTGCCGACAACCATAGCTGACCGGGGAGTTGACCGGAAGGGTTAACCGGAGGCGTTGACCAGAGTTGACCAAAGTTGACCGAGGGTCATAGCAGCGTTGACCGGAGTTGACCAAGGTCGTTGACCAAGGCGTTGACCAAGACTTTGACCAAGCTGGAGTTGGTAACATCTCGCCAAGCCCTTAGCCTGCCCTTGCCCTATGGATGTGCACATACCCCTTGGTACTTGCTGAGTAYAGTCTGTCTGTCTATTCTTTCTGCATTGAGTCTCTTCTGTCCTAGGTCATAGAACTCTGTGGATAAAGGATAGGGCCTTGCTGCCAAACCTGCACGAGACTTAGTAGGACTAATCTCTACTCTGGTATCTGGAGACCTGGGCATGAGCGGCGAGCGCTCGTTAAACAACTCGTCTAGCCCAATGACCAGATCTGTCCGACAGGTCTGCTCAGTTTCAGTGTAGAGGGTCCGAACTATGAGCTGCAGGCTGAAACGGAGGCCGTCTTTAAGTGTCAAGGGCCTGTTGGAACCACTCCCCTACCAGACAAGTAAGGCTGATGATCTGTGTCTAACGACTCGACTGTCCCGGGGGATACAAACCCTCCCACAGACCGGTACAGACCGGCGGGCTGCTCGGTGTGGCACAGTAGGACGGAAAGGCTGAGTTGTGGGCTGAAAGCACAGGCAGAACCAAGCTGATCACGTCGTCCTGTCTGCGACGTTAAAAAATTCTTGAGGAGTTACGGGGGATCCCCTTAAATGCCTCCTGATCAGCCACTGGTTCAGTAGTGACAGCCATAGTGTAGGACTAGGCAAGAGACCATAGTTGACAGGATCCCTGTCAGGATTCTGTGAGTCTTAGATTGAGTCAGTAGGTCTGTCAGTCAGGGGTTGACGTCTACGTGGTGAGGTTTGGAACCACTAACCCGGTTGTACACTTATCACCATGGTTGAGACCTATAGTGGGAAGGAGACTAGCCCCTACACCACTTAGCAGCAAGAAAAGATGGCCGCCTTAGTCAGAGAGAATAAGGAGAGGAAAGAGCGTCAAAAGCAAGCCAAGCTAAAGGCTATCGCAGACGACCAGGCGGCGAAGATGAAGAGATTGGAGGAGGAGATGAAGAGGGTACAACAGAAGGAGGAAGAAAGAAGGAAGGTTGCTGAAGCAAAAGAGGCCGCAGAAGAAGAGAGAGAGAATGAGAATTGAGAGTGGGGAAGGAAGTAATGGTGGCACGATGAAGTGGGAGACAGATACTGAGCTGGAGAAGAAGATCAGCGAGTGGGTCGCTAATTTATCGTTGGGGGAAGACGAGGAGGCAGAGTCATATGTGACTAAGGATGAGAAGGCTGCACTGGCCGCTGAGTTAGCAGCCATGACGGACCCGATGGAACGAAGTGAGAGGGAAGACGAGCAAAAGTTAGCATGGAACCTGAGAATGAAGAGGGAGAAGAAGAGGAGGAGAGAGGAAGTGAATAAGATGACCGCAGCAGTGGCAAAGGTGCAGGAGTGTAGAGCGGAGGTGCTGGCCCAGCCAGATGATAAGGCCAAGTGGGACAAAGTACTGGGCTATTTAGAGGTGTTGAGCAAGGCCTGGATGGAGGAGCGCCAGGCAAGCTGGAGCCAGGATGTAGCGTTGAGTGCCATGCGGTCCGGGTTCAGGGATTTTGCGCGCGAAATCGTCACCCACATTGGGGGCGAAGTCAAACAGTTGAGGGACAATGTAGGGAAGTTTTGTGAGGTCGCCATTCAGGGTGCCAAAGCTGCAGCCGCTGTAGAAGGAGAGGGCAGACCCCGTAAGGACCCAGTGAAACTTAAGTTCCCAGACGCGTACGGGGGAAAGAAGGACGAGAACTTTTGACAACTGGGAGGCCAATGTCAATAGTTACATTTATTTACAGCATATCCTGATAGAGGAGCAAGTCCTCATGGCCTTTCAGGCCCTGAGGGATGAAGCGGCTAGCTTTGCTAGGTCTCTCGCGCGTACAGCCGGTTGTGAAAACAACCTGGTTGCATATTCCAAAGTCACTCCTCTTTCCCAATTCCTCAAGCTCCTCAAGGAGCGGTTCGCTGACCCAACGCGAGGCATTAGAGCCTCTAATAAGCTTCAAACGATCCACTCCCGGTAGTGGAGGAGTGCCAAGGCACTCAAGGGTACCATGGACGACTTGGTAGCCATCCCGGAGCACGGGGTCACTGAGCCCCAGTTGGTCCAGTTGTTTTATCGTGCCATTCCAGAGGCCCTACATGGGCATTTCTTTGACAAATCTCAGCAGGCCGGCATGACTTACGATGCATTGAGTTGAGAAGTCGTCCTGTATGAGTCGAAGTCTATGCCAGTTACCACTTTCTGGCATAAGGACCTGGAGAAGGGGAAAAAGTGGAAAGATCGTACCATCTCGGGCCAAGTCAAGGCCAAGGATCACTTGATCCTGACATTAGAGGAGGGTGGTACAAAAGAGGTCCCATATGATCAGATTGAGTGGGGCCTAGGGGAGGAGTACAGTAATGTAGGGCAAGGGAGGTCTTATGCTGCTGTCGCGGCTGGAGGTAGGCCGCAAGGTAGAGGAGGAGGCCAGGGCCAAAGGGGCCAGGCCATGGGAGGCCGAGGACCGGGCGCGCAGGGGGTTGGCGGCCAAGGAAACCGCCAAGCAGGAGGTAGGGGTCAAGGTCCCCCGTCAAATCGCCAAGGTTCATTCCGGTCCCCACAGCGAGGAGGTGGAAGGGCACCTAAAGGTGGATGGCACCCAGGCTTGCCGCAGTGCAGGCCCTGGGAAGATTTGGGCTTGGACCAGTGTATATGGCAACAACGCGTGGACCAGGGTCAGTGCGTATTTCGTGGTGACCCGGGGCACGTAATCAAATTTTGTCCCAAGTATAGACCGGCCCGTTGGGCTGCCCAGCAGGCAAAAGGCAGCCGCCAGTAGGGGTCGCAACTGCCCCTACTTCCAGGCCATGTGGAGAAGTGAGCGCGCGCGAACAAGACACTCCCAATCCACATGAGCCTATGGCAGAGGTTGCAGGCCCGTGCCTAGATAGCTGTCCAGAGACTGTTTGTGTTAGCGTCTCTTTAGGCACGTCCTTCACAGGTGTGGCAGAAGAGTGAAAGGAGAGGATGCCAGCCCGACCAAAATGAAAAGGGAGAGTCAGGGACAACTGATTTTGGTAGATGTAGAGGTGTTTAGAAGTAGAGTAGGGGCCCTTGTAGACTCAGGGGCTACCCGTAGTTACATTAGCCGTTGGGCGCTGAAGAAGTTGAGGCTAGGACTAAAGGTCCAGAAACTAGTACAACCGCACGATGCGCGTTGAGGACTATGTAGAATAGTCCAGGCATATTTTCGCCTAGAGAAGGATGGGAAGGTGGAGAAAGTTCTCCATACCCTGCCTCTCCTCGTGCAGGATGACCTTCCTTTTGATATAGTGTTAGGAATGGATTGGGGAGAGGCAGCAGGGGCCACACTTCATTTGAGAGAGCATGAGTGTAGACTCCCTAGCCCGGCAGGCGAAGTTAAGCCTGCCCGCTTGTTCCATGTCTTGGGTGTAGACAACACCTTGGCACATTGCTGTCTCAGTGCTCCCGCGTTCGCGCGATTAGTCAAAAAGGAGCAGTTAGAAGACCAGGTCTTTGTAGTTTATGTTAGACCTGTCACTGAGGCCCAGGAAAAGGATAGCTCCACAGATCCAACAATTGCCAAGTTGCTGGAAGAATTCAAAGACTTGACAGAGTCACCGACAGGAGTAGTGTCGCGACCCATCCACCACAGGATAGAGATAGAGCCTGGCAGTAGAACTCCTAAGGGTGCAGTCTACAGAATGTCCCCTAGAGAGTTAGAGGAGCTTCGCAAGCAGTTAGACGAACTCCTTGAGAAAGGTTGGATCAGGTCCAGTTCGTCTCCTTTTGGAGCACCCGTTTTGTTTGTCCCCAAGAAGGAAGGAGAGCTTCGTATGTGTATAGACTATAGGGGTTTGAACGCGATCACAGTGAAGAATGTTGAGCCGCTGCCCAAGATAGACGATCTTTTAGATCGAGTGCAGGGGTGTACGTATTTCTCTAAGATAGACTTAAAGTCCGGATACGATCAGATAGAAGTCCATCCTGATGATCAGTACAAGACTGCATTCCGGACTAGATATGGGCATTATGAGTTTATAGTGATGCCCTTTGGACTGACCAACGCGCCAGCTACTTTTCAGCGTTGTATGAATGACCTGTTTAGACCATGGTTAGATATATTTGTAGTAGTCTACTTAGATGATATCCTAGTCTTTAGTAAGACCCTCCAGGAGCACCAGGGTCATCTGAGGCAGGTCTTGGAGAAGCTTAGAGAGGCTAACAACGCGAAGAAGTGCGAGTGGGCCAAGACGCAAGTCTTATACTTGGGCCACGTGTTGGACGAAAATGGCATTAAGCCAGAGGACAGCAAGATCGAGGCGATCAGAGATTGGCCGACGCCCCGCATATTGACAGAGTTGCGGTCGTTCCTAGGCTTAGCTATCTACTATAGGAAGTTCGTGAGGAACTTCTCCACTATCGCCGCTCCCTTGCGTCGATTGCTGAAGAAAGAGGCAATCTGGCAATGGGACAAAGACTGTACGTCTGCGCTCAAGAAGCTAAAGCGCGCGTTAATAGAGTATCCTGTCCTCAAAGTTGCAGATCCGTCTTTGCCATTCATCGTCACCATGGACGCGAGTCAGTATGGGATAGGCGCCGTGTTGCAGCAAGACGACGACAATGGCTATAGACCCGTAGAGTTCTTGTCGGCGAGGATTCCCTGTGAAAAGGTTGCTGCCTCCACGTACGAGAGGGAACTCTGCGCTCTCAGGCAAGCTTTAGATCATTGGAAGCACTATCTGCTTGGGAGGCACTTCAAAGTGTATTTGGACCACGAAACGCTTAGATGGTTAAAGACTCAGGCCAAGATGACAACTAAGTTGACTAGGTGGGCCGCAGAGATAGACCAATTCGACTTTGAGCTCAAGCCAGTGAAGGGCAAGTACAACGTAGTTGCGGATGCTCTGAGTAGGAGATCAGACTACTTTGGAGCTGGAGTACACTATCTAGATATAGGGAAAGACCTGCAGGAGAAAGTGAGGCAAGCATATATGCGCAGGACCCTATCTATAGCGACCTCCTAAAGAGAGTTAGAGAGGCCCCAGAGACTGAACCAGATTACCGCACTACAGACGGGTTGTTTGAGAAGACTAATGTGTTTGACCGCCTGAGCGTTCCCAACAGCGAAGAGATCCGCAGTTTGATTTTAGGGGAATGGCACGATACTGAAGGGCATTTCGGTTGGCAAAAGACACTAGCCAACCTGATGCGTCCATATACTTGGCCAGGAATGAAGAATGACTGCATAGAGTATGTCCGCAGTTGTAAAGTGTGCCAGAGGAATAAGTCTACTACACGCGCGCCCCTAGGTCTTCTCAGACCCTTGCCTATTCCGGATCATCCGGGAGACTCCGTGTCCATAGACTTCATGGACACCCAAGTCAAGAGTAGACATGGTAAGAGCCAAGTCATGGTCGTAGTGGACCGTTTTAGTAAGTATGCAGTTTTTGTTCCTTTGCCTGCAGAGGCACGTACAGATTTAGTAATACAAAAGTTCTTTGACTTTTGGGTTAGTGAGAATGGAATCCCATTGTCAATAGTTAGTGATAGAGATAGTCGCTTCACCAGCTAGAACTGGCAAGAACTCATGAGAGTCTACGGATCTAAGTTGTTAATGTCGTCCGGCCGTCACCCAGAGACTAACGGTC